AGCAGTGACAAGGAAATCTTTGGTTCTTGGCCTGTGCCATTCACATCTGATGTTCTCGGGTGCATATGACTCACAAATTTCAATTGCTATATTGGGGACACCATATTAGTTGCTATAAATATCTTCATATGTATATATATATACCTTAGGTGGACCCCCCACCCAGTAATAGTGACTATAAGAGATAGTAAGGATTAGATTAGGGTCCTCTTATATTCCTCTTATACCACTATTACAGTGTGGGGGGGTCCTCCTAATATATACCCAGTATGGAAAAATTTAGGAGATGTTTCGAGCCGGCCTCAGAGCTTGAAATTGCCCTCACCACGGGAACTAGGCCTCCAATTTTCTCCCAGTCTCGTATGCACTGCAAAATAGGGCCCAAATACCATTCATATTATAGTATTTGGGCCCTAAAACCCCATTATTTGGGTTCTTGGACCCTTAGGGAATACCTACTATTACCCAGTCACTGCAAAATAGGCCAAGATGCAAGTCTGATGTTTGAGCTTCGGGGGGCTCCTCGCCGACTGCCTGACGGGAAGGCTCAATTCAACTCTTCGCCCAGGCCCTAACCCTGGAAGCCTCTTGGGTGTATGAACCCAAAGGCCAAAATAACTAGCACACTGTGCTGGACTATCAATGTTACAGTTGTATGGAAACATATATATATATATATGTGCAGGTATGGCAGGGATAATGACATTGGAAAAGCTTTTCATTCTGTTGCACTACCAGCAAGGCACATTGGCTCTGTACTCTCCAAGTCTCAGTAGGGATCCCTAGGCCCAAAGCCCTAAGCCCTAAATCCTAAATAGGTGTTTCAATTTTCTTTGCCTTTTCCCCATATAACCCCTATAATTATATCTACTTTAGTGGGGCTATAACCCTAAACCCCAAACCCTAAATAGTAGTTTCCATTTTCTTTTCCATTATCCCTATGTAACCCTATATTACCCTATATTACCAGTACTGAAATCCTGGTGGCTTCCTACCAACACCCTGCGCCCCGCCAGTTTGGAGTACACCCGGTTTAGGGTTTAGGGTTTAGGGTTTAGGGTTTAGGGTTTAGGGTTTAGGGTTTAGGGTACAGACCCCCAAGGTAAAAGTTGTTATAATAAGAACCCAGGAACCAAAAAAGTGTTAAAGTGTAGTACTCCAATATTGGGACCCGGCCTGTGGTACAAAATCCCTGGTCCGGCGTTGCAGATGGTGAGGCGATAACCTCTCTGCAAGTACGTGTTTCAACAAGACACAACTGTAGTCCCCCTTAAGTAGATAGAATATGGGTTTAGGTATGTTAGAATAAGATCCCCATGTACCCCATATTCTATCTACTTAAGGGGGACTGCTATGCCAATGCTTAAGTACCACGCCACTGCTCAAACGTTTCTAAAACAGGAGAGCCATCATTTTTTAACACCCTGAATGGAGTAGAGCACAATGGAGTGGAGCAAAGTTCCCGGGCTAAACTTGGACTTTATGTCAGAGGTAGGCCTAAATTTGCACATGCCAACGATCAACCAAGTGCCGTACGACACTTTCTGCGGTGCTTTGCAAATGTCTGCGCATGAGACGCTGGCTTTCAGAATCTAAACGCTAGCTGTTCAGGTGAACAAGTTCCTAGCTGTTCTCGCCAAGCCTCAAGACACAAAAGAATGCACTAAGCCCTATTTCCTGCCTGCTCTTTTGGGTTAGACCAGCCAAGTCGGATTTTCATGCACTCCTGAAATAACGGTTGATATCTAGAAATGGGACATCCTCAACAAATCCCAGACTCCACATCCTCAAATTCTGCACCCCACACCTTCTTCAGGCCTGCACCCTACACGGTCTAGGGTTAAGGGTTTAGGGCTGAACGCTGAATCATGCTTCCTGGAACACATGCATCTCAATTAGCCCGACGCCGTTCTCTCCCCAAATTGACGGGGTTTAGGGTTTAGGGTTTAGGCCTTTGGGATTGCGGCGTCTGGGCGGGTACTTTGCGATATTACCACGGTAGCTGGGGTAGCCAAAACCCTAAGCCCAACGAACCTTAAACCCTAAACCACATTGCTCCCTTTCAAAAGAGCAGTGCAGTAGTCCCCGTAGGGCCCCTGTGGGGGTGGGCACTGCATATCCTCACCTGCAGCCTGTAGCTTTCGGGTTTAGGTTTATAGTCCCCCTTAAGTAGATAGAATATGGCTTTGGGCAAATTATAATAGGATCCCCATATACCCCATATTCTATCTACTTAAGGGGGACTATAGGGCATAGGGTAGTTTGGGGGTCACTGAATCATCCCAACAACTCCAAGCAGCTGTGAGTGTCTTTACCCTGCGTCTTCTCCAGCATGAGTGGCACCACGGTGCTGCCCAAAGCAAGCGGGATGATGCAGGCCTTGAATGTGGGGCGCCATCCTAGCGTCTACGGCCTTCTTTCCAGATCCTTTCTCTCTTATTTGAAGAGGCATTACGGCATGTTGCTAGCCCGCAGATTTTCTTCCCCGGGTACTGCAGAGTTGTGAATGGAAAGGACCCAAAGCGGCCCATGGCTTAGACCCACTCCATCGAAACACTTCTAACGAAGGAGTAATGGTCGATCAGATCTTCGTATGAAACCCTCGGCAAACATCATCTAACCCTTCAAGAGCAACTTAAACCATCTGAAACACAAGTGAAAACTGTACGTCCCCCTGTATCATGAATCATCCTGTATCCCCCGAATAAATAATAACCTGCTTTGCAACAGGATGCGAAACCCGACTCCTAAGTTTTGGAAGTCCACACATGCCCCTAAGCCCTAAACCCTAAATCCTACACCCTCACCCTTAACCCTAAATCCTAGACCCTAAAACCTGCACAAACTTGGAAACCTCAAGCAGGGCCAGGTGCATCCCCGATGTTTGCCATGCGCGACCTCAACTGCTTCACGGCCTTCAGGTAGAACACGATCACCTTTAAAATGACGAGCTGATCAAAGGCTGCACAACACCGAATGTGTCAGAATTACAGCAAGACTCATGCCCCACGGAAGCAGAGCAACAGCCAAGGTACAGCGTATAGAGCAAAATCTATCCCCTACATATACACCCTATTATATTATGGCAGTTTCCGTCTCATTTTCCTATCCCTATATAACCCCAATTTAACCCTTATATACTAAGTTGAAAGCAATGCTGCAAGCAAAATTGGGAAGAAGCAGCAAAAGAAACAGAACAGTACTGGCAGCAACGCGTGAAAGATAGAGGTGATAAATCTGATATTATAATATTGCAGAAGGTTTAGGGTTTAGGGTTTAAGAAAACAACTCACAAGAATCATATGCCCCATGGCACTCACAAGGTGAATGAGCTACCATATTTCCCTACTCTGATATGGAACACCAAGTAGAACCCACATGAACTGCCTGTTTCCAGACCCTGCACAAATCCTTTAGTTCCCTTGTTCACAAATGACCCTCATGGTATAAAACAGCACTAGTCAAAGCCACAATAACAGTAATAGTAAGAGTAGTTGCAGGTGTAACCGCAATACGAATAATAGCAATAGTAATGGCATTAACCCAGACCCATGATTCATAAAACCCTCCCCTTAATAGGGATTATTATAGGGATCCTAATATTAAGGACCTGTAAAGGAAGGGGTTTAAAATTTTATTAATCATGGGTCTACATTAGCAATGTAGAAAGTAATGGAACTCTCTACTCAGACCACCGAAGCAACTCCTGACGGAGCTCAGCAATTGTTGCCTGCAAGCCTCTAAGATGGTTTAGGGTTTAGAGGTTGGGGTTTAGGGTTTTAGGGTTTTAGGGTTTTAGGGTTTTAGGGTTTTAGGGTTTTAGGGTTTTAGGGTTTTAGGGTTTGGGGTTTAGGGGATTGAGGTTTGAGGGCTTAAGGAAACTGTGATACCTGAACTGGCTCCTTATGGATAAAAATCGTTATTCCTTGTGGCTTGTTGGTATAACAAAATGAAACCCTATCTTCAACAATAACCCAGTAAAGCGACGCGCATCCCGGACTGAAAGAGGTAGTGCCCAAAATTACTGTAGGGTCCTATTTTGGCACTTCAAGAAGGCACCGTAATACAATCCATAACCAAAATTGGCTCATAATTTGGATAAAAACCTAAACCCTAAACCCTGAACCCCTAAACCCTAACCCCATACCCCCGGAATTGTGTGAAGAACCCAAGAGGTGCCTGGGGCTCGGGAGACTCGAGGGCGTTGCTGAGCCGCCGGAACAAGGGTTCTGCAGCCTGCGGCAGCACAGGGACCTATTGGGGTAATATTAGAGTATATGCTGGGGTTTTGGGTTTAGGGACCCATTGGGGCAAGATTAGGGTAATACTGGGGCTATATAGGGATATTATACCCCAATAGTGCAGAATCAAATGGAAAATAGAATGGAAAATGCAGTGGAAACTACAGGGTTTAGAGTTTAGATTAAGTGTGTATTGGTGTTATACAGGGATAATAGAAAAAGGTGGCTACTATTTAAGATTTAGGATTTAGGGTGTAGGGTATGGGGGTTACGGTTTAGTGTACGCATAGGGTTTCGGGTTCAAGGGTTTAGGACTTAGGGTTTGGAGGTTCAGGGTAATCATAGGCTAATTACGCAGAGTCAGATGGACAATGAAGTGGATAATAAAATGGAAACTGGGACAACGGAACCTTGAATAGGGTGACGGTGAGGGCGTTATGAACTATCAGATATCCAACATCCACCAGTACAGAGGCAGCATGTAAAATGGTTGCATGTGGCTGGACAAGGTAAGCCACTGGTTCAATCTTGGGATGAGTTCTGACGTTGATGATCTTTGCTTCCTTCCAGCTCAGAAGAATTCCGGAGAAGTGAGACTCTCAAACGACAATGGCTATTCCTGGCAGTGGTGGCATCATGACGCTTGCCAAGTAAATGACATTTCTTGCGCTAAGAAACAGTTACCGATCAGATCCCTTTTCTTGATCCTGTTCGGACTTGAAGCAGGTAAGGATTGGAATGTCAGGCAGCCTCTTTTTTTCAGACCTGCAGCCCAAGGTGTCGGCACAGAGCTAGGAGCGCCTCGCTGCACCGTAGGTGCATGCGCAAGGCAGGAGAGATCAGGGGGTCTGCACGTGTCTCCCCGATGTTGACCACTGCAACTGGCTTGCCGGCTTGAGCCGCCAGCTTGACTAAGGAGAAGGCGCTGAACACTTTGGCGGAGGTTCCCATGACCAGCAAGGCCTGGGCTCCTAGCAGCGCATTCTGCGCTTGGAGCTTCACGGCCGAATTCAGGGAGCCGCCGAAAAAGACCACGCGCGGCTTCCAGACCCCCCCGCAGTCTTTGCAAGGGGGCACCACGAAGCCGTCGAAGCTGCTGACATCCAGGTGGGCATCGCCATCCGCCCGGATGTCCATGACCTTTCGGGAATGGAATTCTTTCTACTAGAACTACTGTTCCTGGCACCATTATGATGAGTATGACGCATTCGTATGCTAGAGCAAGCATTATCGTTCTTACTAATATAATGAGGAGACAAGGTGACCTGAAGCTACTTAAAAGGCTTCTTCCACGAATTCCTGCACCCGCTGTCTGACAAGACCTGCAGCCCAGAAAGCGCACATGAACACATCAAGAGCAACATACTCCGGCAGAAAATCAAAAAAAAATGCACACGAATTGCAGGCTTCACACTAATTGATGGCCTCTTGGGGAGGCAGGTACGTGTCCATCCACGTGGAATTCACTTCCTCCAGCTCCTCCTGGTAGCCAGCCCTCGGTCGGGAGCGGGAGCCTTAGTGCAAGTAACAGCCTACACACTTTAGACTAGGGCTTTAGGGATCATTATAGTACAGCTGTATAGTAGTTACATCAATTATTGGGTGGAGTGCCATACTCTGGCCATATCGCTATGTAAAGCTTACGACGGAACATTGCTGGTATCGATTCCGGCTTCCACAGTATTCAAGATCAGGTCTGTGACTCTGAAGCTCTGACAGAACAACAAAAAACTGGGTTGCTGTTAAGGAACTTAAATTAAGTTACCATAATGGGTATGTGTGGTAAATAATGGGGTTCTCCCAAAATTGTAACTTAAATCAAATTCCTGAACAGCAACCCAGAAAACAAGCAATCATGTAACTTCACGCTTGATCAGACGGACCCGGTCCCTCGTGCAAGGGTTCATTGAGGTGTACAGGTTGGGTGTTTGTGTATTGGGATAATGGAGAATCAAATGGAAGCTGCTATTCAAGGTATTGGGGTTTAGGGTTTAAGGTTGGCAAAATAGCGGGAACCCAATATAGACCCCGAAATATTATGGTCCTTATTGATTATGAGGATCCCCAAAATGCTATCCCTAAAGTTGTGCTAATATTAGGAAATCCCAGGATTGCTTGCAGTCATGAACCACAGCCTGGGAGCAGGTTAGGCAAACAACCTCATCATTTCTGCCGTGGAGGTCGATGACGTTCCGTGAGCCAGCCCTCTGGTGCAGGCCGTCCACGTTCTGAGTGATTACGGCCTCCGCTTCAAGCTGTCAGGCTTCGGAAATGTTCAAGGCATGTTCAAGCGGCGTACCGACGGCATGCTAAGGGACCTGGATAGTAATTCTGGGGATCGTGGGATCGGAGCATTACAAATCTGTACGTTGATCACCTCCCTGCTTTCGCGAAATACCGTTGATCTCTACTTGCCGCACGGAAGACGGAAACACTAAGCCACTAAGCAGCCTCCACGTAACCGGCTTCCTCCAGAACACCCAGTGCACGATGGGCGGGGTTTGGGGAAGCACCATCAAAGTAACGCCAACCACGCAGGGATCGCGCCCAGTATCCTGAGCTGACGCAAGACGCTCCGACACCAAGAGACAGCAGATCTCAACAGGACTCAACAGAGTTTAGACACTTGATGCTGCAGGCGCCTACTGGATCTCCGAATCATACAACAAACCGCACCTGCTGTCACTGGGACAGGGAGCAAATGCCTAGCGTTGTACGGTAAGGATTATAATCTATTGGGGTAAACTCGGATCAGAGGAAAACACAACACCCAGGGTTAGGGAAACCAAGCTGGCGAGGGGCAGGGCAAAAGATGATGCCATAGGACACATTTCGGGATGATGTGACGTGTGATTCTTCCCTTGGACAGGAGTGTCGCATCATAAAAACAGAACAGGCATTGTGCTGCCTACTTGAGGCCAAGGCTAACGAAGACGGAACCAGGGAACCAACATACAAGAAATCCTAAGAAGGGCCCAAGCTTAGGGCTATCCGAGGATCTGCTTCTGTTCAGAGAGCTGGAGACAAACTCTTGGTGGGTCCTGAGCAGCTCACAGAATCGGTCCCACACCGGCTCCACATGATTCACAGAACAGGGGCTCCCCCTTCAGCAGCGGATTCTTCGTAAAAGGATGTTGAGATCCCCCAGGTGGCAACCGCCAGAAATATGTCCGAGGATCATCGCAGTATGAAATCTCATTGCTTTCAGAAAAAACAGAAGCACCAACAGATATTACAGAAATTCGTGCAGCCCTTGTTGCAACATTGCCCTCAAATACGATCACACACCTTCCTGCTGCAAGGTTACAAAGAAGAGATGTTTACAAGGCCCTTTCCTGGGTTGCTGTTAAGGAAATTAGATTCAGTTACTATATTGGGGAAAGCCTATTATTTACTATATATACCCATTCTGGTAACTTAACTTAAGTTCCTTAACAGCAACCCAGTTTCTGCCATGGCTCATGGGCTTGTGGCCCTTGGAGTAGGAGCCCTGAGGGCTGCGGTAGTCCGGAATGCCCGACTCGGTGGAGAAGCCTGCGCCCGTAAGGCAGACCAACCTTAGCACGTCAGATGCTGTTTTTTGAGAGATCCTCTAAACCGAGATATAGGATTATGTAGGGTTTGCAGGGTCTAGATGTTAAGGCTTAGGTTGGGTTTGCAGCTTAGATTTCAAGGCTTAGGGTCTGGGGTCTTATGGTCAAGGGCCTAGGGCTTGGGTAGTTTTTATAGGATTTTAGCAGGGTTCGGCACGGCTTCACGAACCTTTGGAAACATAAGCTCTGAACGCGGAACCTTACAACCTAAACCGTAAACCACACTAGAGGAATCCGCTCCTTCATCCGTACTAAGCACCAGTAAGACCCGGAAGGTCAAGAACCCTTGATTATAACCCCTAAGTAGCCCTATACCCCTACGTATAGCCTCCATACAACCCGTTACAGAAACCCTAAACCCTGCACCCTAAATCCTAAACCCCAAACCCTTAAACCCTAAACCCTTAATCCTTAACCCTTAAACCCTTAAACCCTTAAACCTTAAACCCTTAATCCTAAACCCCTAAAGCTGAAGCCCAAGCAGCGACCCGTGGGACTGCGCCACAAAGCGCGACAGGCGCTCAGCGGCTTCAGCACAAACCTGGATAGGGTTTAGGGTTTTAGGGTTTAGGTTTTAGGGTTTAGGGTTTAGGATTTAGGGTTTTTAGGGTTTAGGGTTTATGGCGGCTTCCCAAAATTAGGGTTGAGAGGGGTAAAAGAGGGTGTAGGATTATGGTCTAGGGCTTAGGGTGTAATATAGGGTTTATAGGGGTCATATAGGGGAAATGGAAAAGAAAATGGGAACTACCATTTAGTGTTTGGGGTTTCCCAAAATTAGGGGTACCTTTTTGGGGGTCTCCATAAAAGGAGCTATAGCATTTCAGGGTCTACATTGGGGTCCCCCTATTTATGGACATGTTAGCTATAGTCTAAACTCCTAGTATCCCCCTTAAGAACCCTACGATTTAGGGTTTAGGGTGTAGGGTTGTAGGGTCTAAACTCCTAGTATCCCCCTTAATAATGGAAAATAAAATGGAAAAAATGGAAAATGAAATGGAAACTGTGGTTATAAAGGAAACTAAAGGGATTATGATCTCAACTCCCAGTAGCCCCCTTCATAAGCCCTATGATACTCCCGTATGTAATCCCGTACATATCACCCCCTTCAAGGAATTTGGACATTGGTTTAGGGTTTTAGGGTTTAGAGTTTAGGGGTTTGAGGGGTTCGGGTTTAAGCTTTAGGGTTATCGGGACACTATGGGCGCCCACGTAAAGGCCAAAGAGTTTGGCGGGGGGGGTGTGTGGGGGGGGTTACGGGAAGGGGGGTACAGGGAGGGGGGGAGTGTACAGTAGACCATAGACCACGGTCATGGAAAGAATATAGAGGAATAATGTAGATATGTATTTAAGCTTCTACAAAGCATAATTGAATAATCCCGATATATCCGCACATAATCCTCACATGAGCCCTAAATACCCTAAACCCTAAAGCCTAAGCTCGCATGACCCCTAAGTATCCCTAAAAGACGCTTTACATACTCTGGCTGGAGGCTGGTTCTGCTGTAGGAGCGAAACAAGGCCGTGGATGAGTTGTTGCAGCCACCACACGGCGAAGGCACGACGACCGCATGGCTGCACCAAACTTGCTGGACTTGCTGATGCTTGAGGGGAGTGATGATTTAACGATTCTTGTCAGGATCCACTCCCCCCACTCGTCCTCGGCAGTAAAATTCTAGGGTTAGACTTTGGGGTAGAAGGGTTGTGTTGACCGTTCATAAATACCAGTTTCGAACTGTTCTAACTCTCTTTCATGGTAAGAGAGCGATGACAAGACCGACCAAAAATTAGGTACGCAGAGCGAAAGAAGAGTCCTTGCAGCGGAATAGTCTACAGTGCGTCCCGTGGAAAGCAAACTGCAGTGCTGAGAGTCGCTATAACACTTGCAGGTAAAGGGCTTCTGAGGACATTGTGAACTTAACCTACCACATGAAGCCATGAACAAGTGTGAGACGATAGATCATGAGCCTTGGCTGCACACAAACTGCGATCTCAAATGCCCCTCCTGCTTTGCATTTGCAGATCGCCTCTCCTGATTTTCCTCACATTGGCTAGCTCTGCATTCATGCCAATGCCATCCTGGGCTTTTCCCCGTCATGTTCAGAGACGGCAAACGCAACATCCCCAACAAGTCAGGTCAACCACTGCCCCACTTGCGCAAGTGAATATCCAACGAACGCTTATGCGGTGAAAAGGCCACGGTCCGCATGTCCAAGTCCACCCGTAGTGTCCAAAATGTTATGATCCGACTTACTCTGATACTTCTGTGATAACCACTACTAGTATGATTTTTGTTACTACTACTACTACTACTACTGCAACTACTACGACTTCTTCTACGACTTCTACTACTTCTTTCTCTTCGACTACTTCTACTGGTGTTATTGCTCAATTGCTTACTATTGCTACTACTACCACTGTGATGATTGTGGGATTCTTTTGCCCCCACGCCCCGCGCCTTGATGAGACCAACTGTACCCGCAGCAGCCTGACAGCTAAAAGTCAGGTTGGATGAAGCATCAATTTGGGGCTTCCCCAAAGAAGGGTACCCTTTTTGGGGGGTCTTTATAATAAGAATTCTAGTAGTGGGGGGGTCTATATGTGCATATATTGGGTCCCCCTATTTTTGGAAAACTACCATTTGTCAGTGTTTTACAAGTTTAGATTTCCTGTAGGATGATAGATGGTATTCAAGGATACCATAGAAAGTATGATAGGGGTATGGGCATGAGTATGTGATAGGGTTGTACTTTTCCTGCGAACAACATGAAAGCTGTTATGGTCCTGGTTTAAGGGACAATATTCAAATTCCCTAAACCATAAACCCTAAACCCAGCAATCCCCTTACTCCCTCATCCCTTATCCCAGGGCCCCAGACTTTGCAGGACCCGTTTTGGGCTTCCGCGTTAGTTTGGGGAGTGCTTTGCAGCATCAGAATGCGCTCCTATCCCGAGAATCCTGAGTCTCCGATAGCAAGTGCAACGAAACCAGTTACTATTATTACTGTTGTATTACTACTGTTGTTATTTCTGTGAATACTATTAGTACTATATGAAAACTGAATGGACCAGGTAAACCAGGTAGGGTATCGGGATTAACATACTCAGGATGAGCAAGGAGACGGGTACTTGGAAAAAGCTGCTACAAGCGTTGTTCACACTGCCACGATCTGCTTGACCACCTAATCCTCGAAGCCTTGTTGAGGCCGAATCATTCTGTGAACCTACCTCTCTCGTGCCCTACCAGGCATCTGCATGATGGGCGCAGGAAACCCTGACCATGCAGCTTACCAAATCATTTGATTGAATATGGACTGCAAGCCCCCAAGACCCCGCACTGATGTTATTTATTACTGTTATTACTATTATTACTATCATTGCTATCATTGTTTTTTACTCTTGTGATTACAACTAGTACCATCATTGCTTTTATAACTATAATTACACTCATTCCTATTATTGCTGTTATTACTATCATTACCATTACTTTCATTATCACTTAGTTCACTCAAAAAAGGGTATCTCCACTGCGCAGCCAGCCTTCTGTGACGTCTCGTTCATCAGACCAAGGATTCCATGCAGCTTGCCCTCGGAGCTTTCGGCCTGAACTTGCTGAAGTACCAAGAAGCTAGAGTAGGCTCGGGGGGCCGTGCAGAAATTACACTTTTATGGCTTTGCAGGGATTATATAGGGATTAAAGCCTGAACTTGCTGCGAATAATGACAGTACTTTGGGTAGTGCCCCACCCTTGTAACAGTCTGTACTAGGGGTCATATGACGGGCTATACATTATCTGACTCTGACAGAGTGGGGGCAGTACAAATACTGACAGTTCTACTAGTAATCTTACTGGTTCTTAGTAGAAAATAACGGAATATAGCATATAGCGATTATACAGGGATTGCATTCCCATTTTCTCTACTAAGAGCCAGTAACTAATGCTGTTGAAAGCTCCGACTGGTGGGGACGTAGACGTGTAAAAAGAAGGACGCCAAGGTTCTTGGTAAGTGTAGAAAGCTAGAGATCTTCACAGATAAAATGGAGGGTGTGTGAGCTATGCTCTCCTAGCATCCGCTGGATATACCCTATAAAACTTCCCTATATAACTCCCTACATAACCCTTGAAGGAGTTTACATTATAGCTCATGTGAGCAGAACGCTTGAAGGATACGCCTGCCTGAAACAACTTCTCCGCCGCGAACGCGAACACCTGTCAGCCCACGTTTGCCATTCAGGGTTTGGGGCCCTGTGATTGATTTCTATCTGAGAAAACTTCACAATACAACCCTCAGACTACAGTAGTTTCTACTTATCTCTTGATGTTCTTTTCCATTTGATTATCGATTACATAATAGTTTCCACTTTCTTCTCCATTACCCTTAAATAAACCTAGATAGTCCCGATATAGCCCAATGTAATCCCTATACATATATACACATATATCCCTATTAT